GCTGGAACATAAACAAGACACTACCCTTTTCTACATGGTCACAATTCCATGACTGGGGTTATCTTCGTAAAATGAGCTGTCTGCAGAGCACCTAGGGGTGCACTAGGGTATCTCGCCCTTGGCGCTACGGACATTCTGGGGGCAGATAATTCTTTCTTGGGTATTTGGAGGGGGGTTAGCGGCAGAACTGACCTCTACTCACCAGATGCCCATGGCACTGCCCCGCCCCCAAGTCGTAACAAAAATCTCTCAGGACACTGTCAAATGTCCCCTGGGCAGGGCTGGTGAATTCACCCCCAGTTGCGAGCTGCTGGTTTTGTCTGAGGCTTTAGCTCAGCAGAACATGAGCCAGCCAATTAGCTAATGGTAACTGTTAGCCAGATTTCTCACATAAGTCCCCATTATCAGCGCCGCATTATAAGATCCAAAGTTCCTTTGACCCTGGCGAGACGCACTGGACATCTGTTTGACGGGCCGGCTCCAAATTAGAGCACTTTCTCCCCCCAATCCCGCTCCCCCCCCCCACTTCCTGCCAGTCCTTTCCTTTCACCCTGGCCTGATAAGGTAATTCCTTATTCATCTTGACATTCTAATGACACGAAGGCACTTCTGAAGGAGCTCGAAGGAGCTCGAAGGAGCTAGTGGTTTAACTGGTTCTAAGGAAAACTGGCATTATTTTTATAGGAATCCAGATATAATATGCAAAATGTTCCGAACGCTATCACTGCAGTCTCTGAGCTCGTAACACTTTCTCAACTGTGAGCTCTCGGCTCCTGAGCTTGAACCTCACCTCCAGAGAGAGCCCTCCCTGAACAAGGTCCTCTGCGGTGCCCAGCTGCCCCTGCTTACAAAACTGTTTGTCCTATTGCTGTTCACTTATTACTACCTGAAATTATTTGTTCAGAAATTCACGGACTCCCGCAACCAGAACGGGCGCTCCATGGGCAAGGAACCTTCTGTCCGGTCCACGGCTGTTATCTTTAGCATCTCGCACAAGGCCTGGCCCCAGAACTACTGGAATAAGCAAACGGATGAATGAATTTGCAAAGGCATAATTTCTAAAGTATTAATTTCACTCTACCCACTTCTCATTTTCTTCCTGAGCTTCGCTCACCATCCTCATGGTCCCAGCATCATCTTTAAAGAAAGTGAATATAGTTAACTCCCTCCTCTTATACTCCCCGTTAGCTGATCGAAGACATTCAAGTACCTGGTGGGTTGGTGAACACCGAGTAATCAGGAGTTTTCCTCCTGATGCCCTTGATCTTCAGGTCCTGAGAGAAATCTCCATGTAAACGAAGGCTTGCTCCCTTCTAAGCACAGCCAACTTCACAAATACCCAGATTGACAAATCTTTGCTCTAACTAAGAGTTCCTTCATTACAACTCCCAGGGCATCTATTTGAATAGAGGCTATTAACTAATTGACAGTGAAGCTGTTCAGTGTGGGGGGCGGGGGGGGGTGCAGAATGGAAGGACAAGGCAGGCAGAGAGGCTAAAATTAAATGACAAGAGGCCCTGCCAAATTGGAGTAGATTCAGAAATGATAAACCATTTTGGGGATCAATGAGAAAGAGTGAATCAAATAATGAGCATTTAAATTTGTCAAAACGCTATTGATGCACAAGGAGAGGTTTCATCTTTGTTTTAAAATAAATTTTCTACAGGCTCTGCTGCCTAAACCATTTTATCTACAAGCCTCGTGGCAATCTATCTGTCAAAGAATTACTCGCTGTGCAAAACATTATATGTATTTATCTACATATCTGCTCACCTATCATCCATCTGCCTCTCCATCTATTTATCTAAGTACTTCTGGGGATATTTGTGCAAAGCATCCATCCATCTATCTAGACCCGGTTGTATACATCAAGTCCCTCCCTTCCAGCTTTGCCTGAGCTATTTCAAATCTACTAGTCAAGGCAACCTTTTTTTCTGGAAAAATAAGAGGTTGAAAAGATAGATTCTGGGATCTTCTGACCCTGAGTTTGACACTCATCAATGCTCTGAGCTTCCAGGGTGACCCTGGGCAAGTTACTTAACCTCTCTGACCCTTAGGTTCCTCATCTGGAAAATGGATATCATGAGAACACCTATGGAATGACGGCATCTGGGACTCAACGGGAGGAGCCAGTTCTTGGCAAACGGGAAACATCAGTGCCAGGGAGGGGATCATGGGAATGCTGCCAAACACATTCCAACTCCTTTCACATGTGCTTTTTCATCTCTCGGTCCCCTGGTTCCTGGGTAACCACCATCAGGGCTTCCTTGGTACACCCCAGGGGCAGCCGGTTGAGGGAAGGCTGACACCAGGGATTTAAACCTTCCTAGGCTTCCTCCTTCTATTAATCTGGCCATTAAGTAGAGCGGGTTCTGCTGACGCCAACCCACGCAGAGGTCTGCGATGCTCCAGCCAACAAGCAGCAGAGGAGTCCTTAGCAGCCCAGCCGTCTATCTCCCTGACCTCCGAACGGCTGCACGAGAACAGATTTGCCAAGGACTGGGTGAGGACCCCACGCATGCGCGGAGAGAAGGGGCCCTGCGAGGGCTGAGCCACAGACACATGATGTACAACCACAGCTCACAGTGAACTCTGAAAGACAGGCCTCCCCGTGGCACCTGTGCTCCAGGATGCAGCAGCTAATGCCTTTCTTAGGAGCAAAGGGGGCTGCGGGGGTGACGGGGGAGAGAAGTGGGAGCTGACCCAGGCCTCACACATCTGCTGCCTACCTCTGCATGGTTGGGTTTGCCAAGCTCAGCCACATCTGCTGTCTTGCTCCTGCCATATGGGTAATATCTGGGGCACCACTTTCTGCCAGAAAACTCATCCATGCCCCTCTTGTCTGACCCGCCTGTGGGCAGCTGAATAGGGTCCCATCGTGAGTCCCAGGATGGATGGAGGCCCAGCACAGAGTAAGGTCTGGCCACGGGCTTGTGCCAATAGTTACAGAAAAACATCAGTACTTTGGATGGGTTCCAAAGTCTCTTTCACACAGGAAGTGAGAACTCGGGAAAGACAACAACAGCCTACAGCTCCCCAAAGACCAAGGACCAGATGAGGCTGACGGAATGGTGTGGACACAAAGTGAGTCATCTCCCCGCTGGCGCGGCACCAACGCAGAAGGCCCGCCTCGTGCCATGGCTGGCCGTGCATGGAGGGTCAACTCCCTCGGGCCAACGGGTGTGACTCCAAGAGAGGTCCCTGTGTGGGGGTGAGCTGTCCCCCTCACAGCATGCTAGCCAAAGCCATCGGCATGTGACTGTTCTTTCCTGGGGAGGTTTTGAAGGGCTGACTGAATGTTTTTCATAGTGAAGGATACCAGAGGGCCAAAAACTGAACTATCTGGGGTGCAGCCGCCCCATCCTGGGAGAGAAGGTTTGGCTTCCAGAATTCTGGACACAGACCATGTGCCCAGGGGCTCTCCTGCATCTACTAAGTTTTCCTCTGGGGAAGGAGGGATGATGAAGAGGAGAAGGGCCATCCTTTAAAAGCACACCTGGGAAGTTCTCTGGCAATCCACTGAGGAGCCTGGGGAGGCGCAGTGTTTTCCAAAGGGTGGCAGACACACCCCTGAGAGTGCATGCAGATGATTCTGGGGGGTACTCAAAAGGAACTTTTACATGTTACTAGTTTCATATTTATTTTAATGTTGTACCAAAAAAAAAAAAAAATCGAACTAGCATGTGATTTCACGCTTGTGATTTCACCGGTATCATTCCTTGTGATAGTGTTTCTCATCCTCAACACTGGTGACATTTTAGGCCAGACCATTCTCCTCTGTGGGGGGGGGGGGCGCTGGCCTGTGCAATGTACAACAACAGTTAGCCCCATCCCTGGGGTCCACCCACCAGATGCCAGGAGTAAGCTCCCCACCCCAAGGTGAGAGAATCAAAAATGTCTTCAGATACAGCCAAATGTCCTCCAGAGATCCAAGAGGGCCTTGACTGGGAACCATGAGCTTAGGATGAGCCCACTTATGACAGTTAAGTAACTTGATTTAAAGAAAATCTATTTTTAGGTGACTTGGAACAAGTGTGATTCCCTTAAGGCTAACATGGCTAAGGGAGTAGGTGAGCGGCAGGCGTTTGGATAGAAGCAGACCAGAGGATGGCCAAACAGGGGGAGGGACCTGGGTCCTCATCCCCCTTCAAAGCCACGCCCACCGCTCTTTCCTGCCCGCTCTCTTGTCTGGTCATCCCTGTAGCCGACCTAACGAAATGTGCGTGCAGGGGAAAATGGGAAGGTGGAAGACTCCCCTTTCCCCACCATGTGTGGCCTTCCTGAGCAAGGACGGAGAAGCACGGTGGGGTTGCTCATTCCCCTTGGGTAGACTGAGGCAGAGACACTGGTAAGAAGACAAGGACCCATGGAGGAGGCTGGAGAGTAAGATAGCAGGTGGTCCTTGCTAGAGAACTCCAGAAACAGCCACAGAGCTGCCCTTCCGCCTTGAAGTGTTCACACAGGCTTGCCTGTCCCAGACACTCAAACGCTGTTAGCTGTGGGGTTCTGGAGGGGCTCCATCCTGTCTCCTCTCTTTACTGTGTGACCAACGTTGGGACCCCAGGAGATGACTGATCCAAAGATACCTGCCCTTCAAGCCCAGGTGGACAGGCAACTGTCTGTTGGGTTCAAACGCTATACCCCACCAGCACTTACGACTTTACAGATACCGGTTTCTGCTGTTCTCACCACAACCCTCCGAGGCGGGCACTACCCTCACGGTAATATTCCAGATGGGAAAAAGGAGGCTGAGACGCTAGGTCACCTTTCGGGGCCAGAAGATGGGTGTGCAGATGCCCAGGTACACACGTGCGTGCGCGCACACACACAATCAGCTCGTGTGTGTACCCACCTGTGTATGTGGGCATACATTCCAGTGGCAGGGGGATGGCTGAATGTGCCCATCCAGTCTCTCTGAGTCAAGGAGCCCAGAGGGTGTACCAAGCCTCCTGGAGAGCTGGTGCAGAGATAAGTGACAAAGGCCATGGGAAGGTACTGACCTGGGTCTCCAGGGTGATCGGGGGACTTGGATGAGGGTCCTGTGGGAAGAGAGGAGAAAACACACATAAGCAATGGGGAAAATGGAACCTACCAACCCAGCATCCTTTTCTAACACAGCGAGATCTCTTCCATGTTTTACAGTCTCCCCCATTCCACGACTCATGAGAAGAGCTTGGCCCATCCCCAGTCTCTTCTCAACTTCCTTCCACACCCCGATGATTAAGGAGGCTCAAGTTTTTCATGCAAAATGATCAAGTGTAAGGAAATAGGAAAGAAAGTACACTCATCGATTATCTCCAAGTGTGTTAAAACCCTCTATACAAAGGACAGGATGGATCCGTAAGAGGAGGAGAAATAAACCTGAAAGAATATAGAGTCCCGATTAGGGGCGAGGCCACCAATTTGTGTCTGGTCTTGGAAAAAACGAGGGAAGGAAAATAGAGACAGAAAAAGAAGAGCTTAATTCCTAGTTTTCTAGCACATTCCAATGGGCTGGGGAAGAGCCTTTTTAGGATAGAGGAGGCCAGAGAAAATTCCTATTCGTTCACTCTCTACAAAAGCCAATTGACTGGAAATGCTTGGTGGTAATGTCGTGGGTCATTAAACATGAACTCTTTAGGTGGGGGGGGGCAGGGTGGGTAGAGAGGAGGGAGGGACGGGTGGGGAGGAGGTAGTGGTTTTCAGCAAGTGGTTTCCAAGGAAAACAGGAAACTCAGCACATAAAGGCTATTTTTGTCGGCACTCTGTCAGCTCTGAACTTAACCACCTTAGATTCATGATTCTGGGAAAGCAACCTCAAGCTGCCTCTTCCAGAGAATGGGCATGATTTTAGGGCCCTGAGGTGCAAGCTCAGTTTGGAAGCTTTGCTTTGTGCAAGCCGACTTCCCAACATGGGCTTCTAGGAAGCCATGCAAGTGAGCACCCCGTGGCCTACAGGGTGAATAAGAAGGAAGTGTAGGAATCACGCTGTATTTGTCCTTCTATGATCTGACTTATTTCACTCAGCATAATGTCCTCAAGGTTCATCCACGTTGTCACAGATGGCAGGATTCCCTTCTTTTTTAAGGCTGAATAACATTCCATTGTATGCACAGACCACATCTTCTTGATCCATTCATCAACAGACATGTAGGTTGTTTCTGTATCTTGGCTTTGTATGGCTTCAGTGAACATGGGAGGGCAAATGTCATGAGTCCACTTACATGAAGAATCTAAAATCATCAAATTCATGGAAGCAGCGGGTGGAAGGGTGACTGCCAGGGGCTGGGGGAGAGGGAATGGGGCTTTGCTAGTCAACAGGTGCAAAGTTTCAGTCACCCAGGATGAATCAACTCTAACGTTCAGGTGTCTGATGACACTGTAGCTATAGTTAACAACCCTGTATGGTACACACACAATTTTGTTAAGAGGGTAGATCTCATGTTAAGTGTTCTTACCACATTAAAAAAAAAAAAAAAAAAAAAAGGAAGTTAGCAAAACTGGAACCTTTTAAACCCCTACCCTAGGTGAATAGGCAACTCACTTTCTTGATGACTCCTCTGTGGTATCTTCATAATGAGGCTGAAGTCATTCTGAGCTCAAGATGAGAGGTTCCTCTCCCCCAATTCCAGTTCTGAATCTAGTTCCTAGCAGTTCTCCAATGGTACAGCTCAAAACTTACTCCCAGGAGAATATCTAATTCCAATTTTCACACTCAGGCACGGAATATTCCTCACACCCAGGAAGACAGGGAGGGGAACCCTCCTCCCCCTCTCTGGACATTGCAGCCTTGGCCCATAAAGGAACTCGGAGAAGTCTTGAAAATATTTTAGGCTTCTCTCTTCAAACCCTCACTAGCTTCTTCCCAAGGGTGAAGAAGTGAGAGCCATATAGGTGAGAACCTTCACTGCGCCGTTCGAGTGAGCTGGCTCATTGTTTTAGCCATTCTTCATGGAGCCCACTCTAGCCAGCCTCTTCATCCTCACATGCAGGGAGGGAGAGTCAATCAATTCTGTTCTTCCAGCTTCCCTGTGACAAGCAAGCATACTGGACGGGGCCCACTTTTGTCTTTGGGAGGCAAGGCTGTCCTCCTGGTCTGGGAGGTCTTCAGCTCTGAGTCAGTCTGTGTGTCTTTCTGGCCAGATTCATCTAGATGCGGCCAGAAGATAAGAAGTTTCCTCTCACACTCAAACATTAGCCTCATTCTCAAGGCCAGGTCCTAGCGGAGCACTGCACTGGGGTGTTGGGTGCGTGCCCAGATTAATTAAGCTGTACTTCACAGCCCGTCTGGCTATGGCTTAGGGTTTATGCTTCACTGCTCAGAATCCTAAAAGGGTAGAGAGGGGAGACTGCCATCCTGAACCCCTAAGAATAACTTCAAGGTAAAGACCATGTTTGGGAAACCACAGAAAACTCTCAACTGTGTTGACAAAACCCAGAGCCTGATCCCTAGATACGATAAAGCACCAACCCTTTATCTGGTGTTCCAAGATCAGAAACCCTACTGGCACAGGGTCAGGGGTCCAATCTTATCTATCTAGCACATTAATGACCTAGCCAGGAAGAAGACAGAGCACTCCAAGTGGTCATGTCGTTAACACTCCGGGGCTCACGTGCCAACAAAATGTTGCTCCCCTCCCTCTGTGCGCATTCAAAATATAAGACCCTCCCTACAGAGGCTCCATCCAGAAGATTCCAGGTGTGACTACATATCTGTGAGGTCTCACTTTCAGCAACATCCTCCTTAATTGGAAAGGCTAACGAAGTGGAACCGGGTCAATGATGCTGTCTGCCTAACCCATCGTGTCTGTCTAAACCGGGGCTCTTTGGTTTACAGTAGAGTAAATTCCTGTCTGTCAGGGGAAAGGCTCCTGGAGACCAAAGGGGAATTTGCAACATGCTCCGATGCTACAGTGGAGTGCTTTTGGAATCTTAATGCAGGTACCGGAAGCTACGAACTGCCTTAAGCAAGGAAAGCTCTTTCACATCACCTATTGCAATGACTCAATTGGGGAAGTCAAACAGGGAACTAGGTAGACCGATTTAATGGCCTGCATTCTTCACCACTCCCTATAGTCACGCCCTCTGGTCACATGACTTTGCATTTCTTTGCAGAGTGTTCTTCCCCATCCCTTGACCTTGGGCTTGCCCATTTGATTTGCTTTGTCCAAGGGGGGCTTAGCAAATAGGACATACGCAGAAGCTTAAAATATGCTTGTGGGATTGAGTGGGACTCTTGTGCTTTGGCCATCACCGCAAGAAGAACATGCTCTGGGTACCCTGTTGGTCCAAGGAAGAGGAGACACACATGGACCAGAACTGTACCCAACCTGCAGCTTGAAGCCCAGCCCAGCCTTGTTCAGCCAACCTTCAGACACATACAGGATATATGCTTGTTGTTTCAAGCCATTGAGTTTCAGGGTGATTTATTATACAGCCATCACTGTGGTGATAACTAACTGATACACTTTCTAAAGATGGACCTTGATAGAACCCCAACATGATGTACAAACCCTCCAGCCTTGGAAACATAAGGATTCATACTCTTCCTTGGTCTGCCAATAAACCCCCCAAACCTGAAATGACTACAGCTCGTAACTCTGATCTAGGACCTACTATGTGCCACACTCCACGTGAGCTGTACATTCTGCCAAGCAAGGAAAAAACTCAACCACTAAGACCTTATACTATATATGAGTTAGCTTTCACCCCTCTTCGCCCAATGTACCGGTCCTTCTGAATTTATTTATATGCCATCACAGCAACGTTAACAGAAATGATTGCTCAGAGTCCTCTCGCCCGGAGATAAAGACAGTGTTCATTCCTCTGTTTCTTTTTTTTTTTTTTTTTAAGATTTATTTATTTATTTTGAGAGAGTGAGAATGAGAGAGAGAGAGAGAGTACATGAGAGGGGGGAGGGTTAGAGGGAGAAGCAGGCTCCTTGCTGAGCAGGGAGCCCAATGAGGGACTCGATCTCGGGACTCCAGGATCATGACCTGAGCCGAAGGCAGTCGCTTAACCAACTGAGCCACCCAGGTGCCCTCATTCCTCTGTTTCATTCTCAACTTTATCCCATGGGCATATTACCTGACCAAGGTTTGGAACAGTCATGAATACTAGTAATACCGAGTAACTTACTATGTTACTAATTAAGTGATGGCTAATGACATAAGTTCTTACCATGTTCCAGGCACAGGCTTCACCTCTATACATGTAGCATTCCTTTGACCCCTTGTAACAACCCTGTGAGGTAGATACTGCCATTATTCTCTTTATAGAAACGGGGAAACTGAGGACCAGAGAGATTGAGTAACCTGTCCAAGGTTGCACAGATAGTGCTGAAGCCTGGATTGGACCCCAGTGCCCTGCACTTGAGACGCCTGCTGTTTTACAGTAGCCCTACTGGAGAACACAAGTCCACCCCAAACAAAGTAATCCTGCACCCCGGACAGTGTCTACTACAAGGAAGAACACTCACAGCAAATCAGCAGGAGCACCTTAACCACGAGAATCCTTTTATAAAAAGGTAGTGGACATGGTTGATAGAAATTACCACACGGGCCCTGACTAAAAACAAAACACAGCCACCTCACCACAGCAGGGAACCAAATCCATCCACACCTATTAATGAGTTCCCACTCAGTCGCTAGCACTATGCCTGATGGGCACCAGGAGGGGGCCAGAAAGGACTTTAAAGTGACTCTGTGCACACTCCTATTCCCAAAGCTAACTGTTTAAATAAAAGGCGGGACTCTGATTATAGATTCCAGAGAAATGAAACGTGTTGGCACCTCATGAGTCTTGCTCATAAGACCAGGAAGCCAGGCTCAAATACTTTTGAGCCCATCGAGGCCAAAAGCCTGATTTTTAACAAGCAGTGAAGCTTTCGTAAAGAAAAGCGAGAGAGGATGAGGAATTTCATTATCGTTCCATGCATGAATCAAACATTTCTGGCTCCCCTGGTTGGTGCTAAGCCCTGAGCCCGGCCTCAGCCATTGAAAGGGGTGTTCTCTTCCTGAGCTTTGAAGATCTCATATGATAGTGTTTGCTCTTGGGTGGT